ATACTTCTGCTGGAAAGTAGGTAGAGAAAGGGATTTCTTTAAATCCCAGCCCTCTGTTTGTTCCTGCAGCAGAAGGACCTGAGTTCTTCTACAAATTCTTTTCCTCCCTCTTGCCATGATGCCCCATCTAGTCCCGTCCCTTCCTCATAGGAAGAAGGGGCCAGGTGCTGTTTTGATTTTTCTCCAGTCTTATTTAAGGGCTCCTAGCAACCCAGCTCCCACCTAACTCTCCAAATGTGTGGGTAGACCCACCTGCTGGAGCCTGGGTGACAAAACTTGAGGCCCTCTGTGGGGCCTCAGAGCACATCCCAATCTTTCCCACTGGCCCCTTTCCCTTCCCTCAAGTTGATCCCCTCAAATCCCCTCAAATACTTGGTTTCTATAACTGTAATAATAGTCCTCGCTCTGAATAAGTTACCCACTATTTATGTCTAATTACCATGTGGCACAATAATGATATGCATAGTATTAAATGTGTCAGATTAACTTTGTTCAAAGTTTTGCTTCATTACACCACCAAATTTGATTCACATACATTGAGTATTTCACCTCACGGGGCCTTGGCCCCACATATGTAAAATGAGGCGTATGGATTAGATTAGTGTTTCCCCACCCAGCTGGTGCTCAGAACCATTGGTCAGTTCTTTAGAAATACAGAACCCTACCCTCTAAATTCTGATCTGGTAGATGTAGCATTGGGCTCCCAAATCTGCATTTTTCTCTTAGTTTCCCAGGCCTCCAATACAAGGACTGTCATTTGGGAAACTCTAGAGTAGTTAATCTCTGGGACCCTTTCCCAAACTCATTGATTCAGCCATTGCAGAGGGCACACCAGCAGACATAGGGCTGGAGAGAGGCAGGGGACAGATGTGCAGACTTTTAATCCATTTTAACAAGATTAGAATTTATCTCGAAGGCAACAGGAAGACTTTGGAGGGTTTTAAGCAGGGGTGACAAGATCAGATTCATGTTTCAGAAACCGTCTTATGCAGTGTGGAAGCTGGGCTGGAAGTGGGAGGACCAGGGAAAAGGTTTCAGTAATAATCTGCCTGAAACGATAATGGTGAGCTGGATTGGAGTGGTGGCAGTGAGGATGGAGAGTGGGCAGGTTTGCGTGGCATTCAGAAAGTAGAATGGATAGGACTGAGCGACTTTTCTTTTGGATCTGGGATGTAGTGGTTTATCGCTGTTTGGTGCTGCAGCCTTCGTTCCTTCCTAAGCTGGAAAACCCCTCACTGCATGGTGCTCGGTCAGCTCAGTGAGAGGCACACGTCCCAGGTTTTGACTCAAGACCTGGTGGCTCAGAGAAGCAAGGACAGCAGAGCATCCATTCTAGAGGCAGCACAAGTAGCCCCAACTTTCATTTCCAGAAGCAGCATGACAGAGTTCCAGGGGGATGCCGGGGTCTGGGGCCAGCAGTGGTGGCCATGCCATCTGGTGCTGTGTGTACCTTCAATAACTGAGTTCTCACTGGACTGCTGTGTGGGGATTTTGGCTGAAGATCTAACAGCATCTAGCTCTTTTGTTCCTGCCTGTTTTATAAGCCTAGTTTTCTAATCTCCCCCGTGATTCTGTGAGCTACTACAGTACTTTCAATGAATTCCTTTTCTGCTTAAACTGCCTGAATTGTTTGTTTCTTACAACCATGATCCCTGACTGATACCCTGACTGTGTTGGAGGCAGTGAGGGCATCGGCAACTGGGGACAGGCCTCAGCTATGGCCAACACATGCAGAGAGGCAGGTTGTGAGACAAGAATCCGAGATGCTGCTGGTTGGCCCAAAGACCTCTGCTCCTGATTTGCTCTCCTTCAGTAAAGGAAACTTAGATTGAGCTCTTGTTCACTATTGAGAGATTTTTTTGAACTGTACAACTCCATTCAGAACCTGGATGTCTGTGCATTTGCAGACTACCAAAAAACTCTTATCCTGGTTTCATTGCTTGTTCCCATCATCTGGAAGGGAAAACTCTTTAATAGCCTTCCCAGTCCTCTTCCAAATTAATGAGATTCTTGATATCACCAGGCTATTGGACGTATATGAGACCACAGGAAAGAAAGTGCTATATTATTTAGAGAAAGGGCTGAAGAAACCCTAGGCAGTACATGCTGATTGTACTTCCCTAAATACAACTTCAGAAGTGATATAAAATTTGACTTTTCTAAATTCAATCACTTTTCCACCCACTTACCTGATAACTTCTAAGATGTTTATTTTGTTTTCACATATATGGCAATTTCAGTAGCCACTGAAACACAAGGTTTATATATGTTTTATATAGTAAAATATAAAAGTAAAACACATAATATAATTTACCATCTCAACCATTTTTAAGTGTACAGTGCAGTGGCATTAAGTACATTCACATTGTTGTTCAACCATCACCACCATTCATCTCCAGACCTTTTTCATTTTCCCAAACTGAAACTCTGTACCTTTTAAAAACTAACTCCCTTTTCACCCCTCCTTCAGCCCCCTTGCAACCCTACGCCACCCTCTGACTTCTCTGGGTGCCTCATATAAGTGGAATCATACGGTATTTGTCTTTTTGTGACTGGATTATTTCACTTAGCACAATATCCCTGAAGTTCATCCATCTTGCAGCATGTGACAGATTTTATTCCTTTTTAAAAGCTGAATAGTATTCTATTGTCTGCATATGCCACATTTTGTTTATCCTTTTATCCATTGATGGACACTTGAGTTGCTTCTACCTTTTGGCTATTGGGGAGTAATGCTGCTATTAATATGGTAACAAACAATGTGTACGTTTTTATGGCCTCTTCTGATCAAGCAATTAAATAAGTTTATAGTACAATAATTGCATTTTATATCTATTTTGTAACTCTGAAGAATTGTAAAAAAATAACTTCATTAAGGGGTCATACCTGTATTCTTTATTGTTCCAAAAACAGAGGATGCAAAGGCCATCTACAGATGTCCACTTCACACCAGTGTGGAAAAGTCCGTTATAGTCCACCAGTCATTCCCCCAGGGCGAATTGCAATGCAGATGTCAGAACACTCAGGTAACTCTCTGCTCTCCAATCTTGGTCCGAGAGAGTGTCCTGAACATCTGTCCTTTTAAAAAAGATCCTCCCCTTCTCCACTCCGCCCTTAGGAGGACCAGCCTAACCTACCTTTATTCCCTTCACTAGATTATTCTGACATGTGGCTGTGGATCTCTCAGCAATAGCAGAAATCAAGAATTTTGCATCTCCCTAAGGTTTTCTGCACTTTGAGAGAAGTAATAAAATATGAAAAAAGATGTGTTCATTTTCTTTTGCCCCACACCTCCCCTGGCTCAGAAGGATTGCCACCTTAGCATTCTCAGAGTCATTTGCAAATGGGATAAGAACAAAATGACAAAAGACAGAGGAGGGTGAGAAAAGAAAATAATTTCCAGAGCTTGAAAATGGGAGTTTAGTTTTTCATTTACAAAGTAGGTTTGGAAATCTAGAGTTGGAACACCACATAGAGGGGGCCTGCTTTTCTTTCAGTGCTTCTCTAGTTAAAGTTTTCTGTAAGGGGAAAACGGGCAAAATGTCTAGAGCTCCAGTAAGTGATGGTTGTCATTCCTACTGAAACTTCATGAAAACCCTGCAATATGGATCTCTATCCCTATTTTACAACTGAGGAAACTGAGGCTTAGAGACATTCAGAACTTTTCCAAGGTCGTGAAGTTTGGACGGGAACAGAGTCCTGTGTGACTCTAATTGTGCAGCTTCTCTTATCCGGCTCTGCTTCTGACCCCTCTAATGAGAGCATTCCCCTGATTTTCTGTGCTTTTCAGAATGCTTTTCAGAAAGGGCGCTGTAACAGTCTGTGTCTCTCCCTCTGTGGGTGCATAAAAGTTTGACACAGATGAGAGAGGGACTTTCCTCTCCAAGCCCCAGCCATGTCTCGTTCTCAAGCTTGGAGGCAGTTCTTGGAGCACAAAAGGAAGATCTTCCTTATTCTTTGTTGGCTCAGTTCTTTGTTTCTTCATTTCCATGGACCAACAAACCCCCCACCTGCCTCAACTCATCATCTACCCCTCATACCCATCACTAACCATTTGCTTACCACTTTCAACAATAAAAAGCGTAGAAATAAAGATTTAGGTAGCACATCAGGAAGAACTTCCTGACTCTGAGGCTCTGGAACATACAGATGAAAAACTCAAAGAGGCTTTTGTGTCCCCCTTTCCAGGAGAGCTATGAGGAAAATGCTCACCCTGCCCCCACCTGGCCTACTTGGACCTGGTACTGTTCTGCCTCGAGGTTAGGGGAGGGAACGAATGACCTCTAGATGGCCCTGACAGCCTGGGAAGCTGGGAGCCTCCAGTGTAGTCGCCAGCTTGGCCACAGATGTTCTCTGTCATCAGTCACTCAGTGCATCTGTTTGCTGTGCTGCATGTTTAAAGAGCAAGGCGTTTGCTAATTAAAAACTATTGTAAAAGATCCCTCCATCTCACTCAGGGCCAGCATGAAATCCACTCAGCCATGCAGGATCAGGGTAAAAAAAAGCAGTGCAGAGCTACAGTGTCCTTGAGTTGGTGCATCCCATGGAGGTCATCTTGCTCTCTCTTCTGCCACGTGAATGAGCAAGGCTACCCTCCCCACCACAGAACAGCCAGGGGTCATCTGCATTACAGTTTGTCTCATGCTTCCTCATTTATTATCCTCATCATCGCCAGAGAGAAAGGTATTCTTAATCCCAATTTAAAGATGGGAATTCTGAGGCTCAGAGAGATGAAATAATTTAGCCAAGGTGACACAGCTGGTAGGTGACAGAAGTAGGACACCAATCCAAGTCCTCTGACTAGTCAGGAGAGGGGTGGTCTATTCACTTGGTGGCTCTGTCCCTGGACTGAAGAGGAGGTGCTGAGCTGGAAGGCACCAAATCCTTCCTTAAATGAATTAAACCTTGGAAAGAATGGCCTAAGGATATGTGAGGAGGAACACTGGGGTTTCAATTATATCTGTAATGTTTTATTGCTTTGAAAGCAAATATGGCAAAATGTTAGGATTCCTGATTGCTGTGATATCGCCCTATGAAGCGTGCAGGGGGGTGGGGGACAGTCCAGATCCACTCAATAGGGCCAAAGGTAAGGAGTAGGGAAAGAGGCACGCTGCACCCACTTACAGCTTCTCCCCTTCCCCGATTACCTCCAAAGATGGCTGTATTTGAGAGAAGTGCTGGCCTGCACCTGGGCAGATGGGGGATTGGTCCAGCGCTGGGTCTTTGTGAAATCTGGAAGGTCATTCCAATTCTCTGGGCCTCGGTTCCCTCTTCTAGGGCAATAAGGGTGGGGATTAGGTGAATACTAATGTCCTTTCCAACTCTAATTTTCTGTAATTGTGGAAATACAAGCTTAATCTTTGTGGCCCAGAATGGTTTGACTCCAGCCACGATGGACTGATTCCCTGCCATATTGTTCCCTCTGCCTGGCATGCCGTGCTGCCCTTCTCCCCTGTAGGAACTGGTTTTCTTCATGATCAGCCCAGGTGAGGTCTGTCTCTCGTTTATGCTCCACAGCATCTGTTTAAGCCACAGGTACTGTGATATGTCACACTTACGTCCTGGAGGTCTCCACTCTAGATTGGCAGGACTTGAGATCAAGGGGCTGGTCTTATTTTTCTCTGTGACCCAGGAATCTGACGTAGAGCCTGACAAAGAAGGGACAGTCAATAACAAATTCCTTAAGAAGAAAGACAGATAAAGAGAGAGAGGAGAAAGGGAAGATGAAGGAGATTTCTCTGCAGCCCAAACGACCCTGGGCAAAGGAGAGCTGCAGAGCGGCGCTCATCACTGCCCCTTTTCCCCCACCCCCCACCCCCGTTTGGAGTCAGAGGTGAGCTGGAACTCCAGAGGCCCCCTTTTGAATTTCCATTTCAGGTCAACTCCAAGCAGGCTTTCCCCTGGAAGTGTCAAGCAACAAAACTGACCACAGGAGCTGCAAGAGCAGAGGTCAGAAAACGGACCTTTGAGTCTCTGTTCCTTTAGCGACTGTCTGGATGGTCGTGCCTCCCTCAACCCTTGTTCTCTGACTTTTCAGAGGAGAGAACCCACAAGCAGGCGATGAGGACCTAGTATCACGGCAGTCCTGCATATGCAGGGTATTAGTTTGGGGGTTTAGAGGGAGCGCAGTGGGTCATAGACCGCTCAGTTCCGTCTTGGCTCTGGCCTTTCTCGGAGCCAGGGATGGCGGAACCCACCACCTCCTCGCTGCCTCTGTCAAACTCCCGCACGCGGAGCCAGCACACCAGCGCTCGGCGGGGCGGGGCCTGTGTCGGGGGCGGGGCCCCGGGGCCAGAACAGCTCCGCCCCCTCCCTCCCGCGCTCCTGGCGCACACGCGCTGAGGAGCTGTCCAGGTTCAAAGCCGGAGCCCGCAGCCTCCCGCGCTCGCCCGGCTGCCTCGGTGCCTAGTCCCTGCGCCGCCCGCCCTCCCCACGCCCAGCTCGGCCCCGCCCCGCCGCGGCCCGTCCACTGCTCCCCGCGGCCCGGAGGCGGCCGAGCGGCTGCCCGCCGGAGCTCTGAACGGCGCGGCGGGGCCGGGAGCCAGGGACCCGCCTAGGAGAGCGGCGGCCCTGACGGCTGCCGGAGGGGCGGCCGCGCGTGGATGCGGCGAGAGCCGAAAGCCTCGAGCAGCCGGTGCCGTCTCTGCCCCCGGGCGCCCTATGGCTTGAAGGTAAGAGCCAGCAGGATGGAGCGAGAGGCGGCCCGGGCCCAAGGCAGGTCGCAGGGAGCGGAGGAGGGAGCTCGGAGGGCGGCGCGGCCGGCAGGAGAAGTTTGGTCACTCCCGCGCCGTCTGTCCGGGACTGCCCCGCCTGCGGTCGGTCTTCCCACGGACTCTCCGTCGGGCCGCCGGCGCCGGGGGCGACCGGAAGCCCGCGGCTGTCGTCCCCTCTCCGTCCCTCTTGGCGTCCATCCTTCGCTGTGCCGGGCGGGAATCCTCGCTCTGGGCACGAGCGGGCGGAGCCGGGGCAGCGAGCCCCGCCGAGCCACCGCTTCCGCAGGCGGCCGCCTCTCGACAGTTTCGGGAGGGTCTTTCCGCCCAGTCCCCGAGCCCGGGACCCAGGGCGCGCAGCCAGAGGTTCCGACCGCCCCGGAGGGAGAAGAGGGGTTGTTTGTAGCAACTTTGCATTTGTGCGACCTGAGACTTCAGTTTCTTCAGGGCAGAAGCCCCTTAAGAACGGGGAGAGGCTGGTTTGGGCTTTCCTCTCCTACTTTCTAACGTGACGCTGTCCCTGATTCTGAATTTCCGTTCCCCTTCGCCATCTCTCGGGTTGAGATCCGGTCGAGGAGGGAGGCTGGGGTTTCAGACCCATCAGGACTTGATCATGGGGACAGTGGTGGGGGCAATAGCGGAGGGCGACTGCCGGTCTCTAGAATGGACCAGGAGCTCCGGTAGGGAAGTGAGCGGAGTCAAGAGGCAGCTCTAGAAGCGCCAGACAGCGCGCGTCCCCATCCCTGTCTGCAGTGGGCAGCCTGTGACCGGTTCCTCTTGAAGAGCAGAGGTAAGAGGGTGTGTGCGCGTCTACACAACAGGCTTCACCATGGACACGAGTCACAGCACTGCAGCTCCGCAGGGACAGGTCCTTGCTCTCAGCCACAGGGAAGCTGTCTGAGCCAGTCACTGTTGCCCGACCTGGCACGCCACTACTTTTTGTGCTGGGGGCTCCTGAGGTTGGTGAGGTGCAAGGCACTTTGTGGATCCTTTTCCAGTTTCTTCTGCAGATTCAATCACTTCTGGATTTTCGCCAGGCTACAAACCTTTCAGGCTACAAACCTTTCAGGCTAATATTCGTTCCTCCCCAGGACCTAGTTTTTTAGTGATTCTCCTTCCTTTGGATACAAATGCTCTGCTTATTCCTGATTCATCTTGTATTGCTAAGACCACTTGAAAAAGAAACCTTTTTTTCTCATCTTTCCCCCTGTTGCTGCTGTTTGATGAAGGTGGGCAGAGAGAGAGGCCATGATAAATGGGACCAATTGCAAGAGAATCAGCAAGATGGTTTGCTGGGCCCCAGCCCCCGCCTTTGACTTCTCTGCTTAGAGTTCAGAATTCCTGGCACGTGGGTTGGGGTGGTTGGTGGTGTTTAACTGGCTATCTCTGAAATCAGACATCTGACAGGGGAGGGGTTTTGAGAGGGTTAGAACTACAGCCAAGTGAGGGCCATGGTAGCCCCAGTCTTGTTTTCTTGAAGAACATTCTGAGTTCCTTCTACCTTCCCTACACAGCCTGGGGATGAAAGGTGCCTGGAAAAGGGGGGGTTCTGATTTATTGTAGAGGTCTAGGGAAGTATTGGGTTGTTGGGAAAGTCATGACATATTTTTTTCTATGTTTTTCGTTGCAAAAATGCGTCGTGACTTTTCCGACAACCCAATATTTCTCCACGGTTGTTTTTTGTTTTAATAAACTCCCTGCATCTGAATCACCTGGGAATCTGGTTAAAATGCATATTTATGGTTCTGCCCTAAAGAACTGTTGACTAAGAATCTCAAGCTGAGGCCCAGAAGCGTGTATTTTAACTATATGTCTGGGTGATTCTTATGTACATTAGGTTAAGAAATCACCTCTCATGAAAGTCCAGATACCTTTGACTAGAAGGAGCATGATTAAAGTCTTTAATCGATCCCCATGCCTCCTGCAGTTATACATATTAAATTTTTCAGGTGTGGGACTGCTGTTGATAGAGGGGCCATCCCCCTGATTAAATCCCTTTGCTACAATAAAAGATACAGCCCAATATACTCTCTCCCAGTATCTTCGTAAGCTTTTCTTCTTTCTAAAACAGATTTTTTACCTCTCTAAGAATCTCCAACATGGCTTCAGATTTACCTGTGTAAATACTAACTGCCCCCTCTCTGGGAGCCAATCCAGTGCGTTCCTCCTACCCTCCCCTTCCGGAGAAGTTATTTCCTTTCATTATGTATGTGCTGTGATCTGCTAACCCAACTGCTCCTGAAATACCAAGGAGTGATTAGTTCAGCTTAGTAGCACGTCATGTTCCCCAAGGCTGGTAGCCACTCGTGCCCTGCTGGCAGTGACATATTGACTGTATTGATTTGATTCTTGTGCTCTGTAAGCTAGGAAGCTTGTAGGGGTGAAAAAGGCCAGAAATGATGCTTGTGGGCTAGTCTTTCACCTTTACAGGCAAGGCTGGATTATTTCTGTCTAGAACATGCAATGAATCAGGCGAATCTGAACTTGAGAGAAACCCTTCTGTTCCTCCTTCTAGACTGGGGAAACAAAGGGAGCTCGGGCTCTCATAAAAATATGGCTTCATATACACCTGGGATTGATCTGCTGAAGCTAGGCTGGTCTGAGGTCACTGTTTTCTGGGTAAACATGTGCAAGGGGAAAGGCATGGGGACTTGGCCTGGAAAGAGCTGTCTCCATCTTCCTGCAAGGGAAAGTCACATTTTGGTATTGAAGAAGCATGGCTGTGAAGATAGCATGGAGGGGTGGGGGATGGAGAGATGGAGAGGATGATGAGACTTCCTTGAGCCAACCCTGCCTCTTCCAGTGACTCATATTTTCTGACCTGTCGCCCTCCATTTCTTTCTCCCTTGGGGCTTAATACCAATGACTCTCCAGCAGTAATGGTGTTTCAGTAGCTAGGAAGGGAGAGGAGAATCAAAGTTGAGATTTTACAATTCCAGGACATATAATTTCAAGCCATATCACCAGTATCTCCCGACACCAGGTCGTATATCACAGGTCATAGTAACCTAAGATTTGAGATCTAGAAAATAACTTAGAATGGCTTCCCAGTCGGTCACATTTCCCCTGGGATATATTAGTTACCTTTGACTATTTGGGCTCCTCAGAGGTCATCCTGGATGGCCCAGACCCCATACAGAGCAGCTCTTCCTTTAGTCCAGAAATATGGCCTTCTCTCGTCTGTTCTTAAAGTTCTTCCAAAATGAAGTGGTGTAAGCTTTCTGGTTCCAGGGCACCAGGATTGGGCTTGGCAACCAAAGCTTCTCCATCCTACCAGGAGCTCTGCTTAGCAAGAGAGCATCTTCCATCTAGGAAGTGCTTAGAAATCACAGGCAGCAGGAAGCGCACAGCTTGGTTTAGCTCCTTGGCAGACACCCTCCCCTGGCCTCTCATGTAGCTCAACACCAGCCCACATTTCCCTCCCCCGACCCCCCAAACATGCCCTAGCATGTTATGGCCCTGGGAGGACTCCAGGATTTGGCTTTGGAGTTATAAGCACTCCAGCTCTCCAGGATACTGAATGGAGCCACTAAAGGTGTGCAGGTAGCTTATTTACCTCTTCTGGGTGGTAGACTAATATTACCTCCAGCCTTTTAAACTACTCTAACAGTGCTGGAATCCAACGTTAATACACCCCTTACTTCTTACCTGTCCCTGTTGCCAATGTAATTGAAGATTTCTTTCTTACTTTTTTAAACAATAGAATCACATTATCTAAATGCAAAGGCTTGGAAAATAGCTTGATTATAGCGTCAGTAATGTGGGTAAAGGAGTAAGATGACAAGATTCAGCCACTTGGTTCTTGTTTGGGTCCAGAGAAAGGAGAGAAACGTGTCCTTCTGTTCCACATACACATTTTCTCTCTTCTTTCCTCTTTCACGCCATCCTGATAAATGGGTTAAATCAACACCCTTGGCATCCAGGGTGTCCCCTGGGAGGGCGTAGCCTCCTCTCTCTAGGAGACACGGCAATGTTTCTCAGCGGAGGAGTAGAGGCCCCTGCTGGCTCCAGTGCACAGGGATGAGCCAGAGATGACGCACTGGAGCCTGGGGACGCCCCCTCCCCTGGATGGAAGAAGCTTTGCTGCTGCGGTTTCCCAAACTCAGATACCTGGAGTCTTCTGGGCATCTGGGAGAATGGGGGGCAGTGGATGGGGGTGGCAGCTGAGAAGTAGACTCTTGGGGGCCCTCAGAAGATATGCGTGTACGAATCATCAGCTTAGTGCAGTTTGAGCAATTTTGTTGTCATCTGAAGGCACCTGCAGGGATTTTTACTTTTTCCAAGAGGAGATGGGGGAATTCTTTGCTGCCTACAGTGATGGGGAGGGGACTGAGGGAGGACCCCTGGCTTTCCTTGGAGCCCTCTGAATGATGTCAGCCTGCTCCCAGACAGAATGGTGAAGGAAGTCAGGTGGATTCAGCCCCCAGGGCCCTGTCAATGCCCCGCCCCCCCACCTGCCCTCCAGGGGGCTGCAGCTCATGTGGAGCTCAGTGCAGTACTGCAGCCACAACCCCAAGGACACTCCCCTGCAGGTGTCTGGGAGCCAGTGTAGGTCCTGGGGCCCTTCACTTCGTCATTGGGCTCCTTCAAACTGTCTGCCCTTCTTGCTTTCACCCCTGCCTTGTTATTGTTTGGGTTCTAAGTGGCCCAGCAGGGAAAAGGCATTAGAAATGCAATTATTTTTTGTTCCGCGTTATATAATTGCCTCCTCTCCTTCCTGTTACCCCAGGCAGCAACATCACTAGCATTTCCCTGGGAACTCTTGGCCTGGGAAAGTGGCTTACTCACAGAGGGCTGCTTTTGACAAGTGGTCCTGCTCACCAGTCTCTCCAATGCTGGTCTTATCATCATAACAGCCAACATTTATCATGCACTTGCTGTGTGCAGGGTACTGTGCTGAGCACTTGACGTGTGTTTTGTTTTTTTTAAATTTCAACTCCCAATCTTGTAATAGCTCAAGGAAGCAGGCACCATTATGACCTCCATTTTACACAGGAAGAAGTATAGGCTTAAAGAGGTAAGTGGCTTGCAGAAGGTCACAGGATTAATATGCAGGGTGGGATTCAAAGCCAGACTGATGCTAAAGCAATAGTTCTCTCTGACCTATGCAAGTGGCACACGGGATAAGAAAGGGAGGAGAATAAGGATAAGAAAGCACTTCCTTTGAAAAACTGAAGTGACAGTGAGCTATGCATATGATACCAGGAAAGAAGGAGACAACAGAGGGAGAAGGATGGATGAAACAGCTTCTTGGGACTCTTAAAATGGAGGACCATCTAAGAATTGTTGTTGTGTACCTCGATCTGGGCCTCTTTGGATGAAATGCACTGGGAGTGAACCTCAGCGAGCCATGGGCACAGTGGGGAGGGAGGCATGAGCAGAAGGGAGGCAGGGTCAACTAAGCCTTCCAGCTTGAAGGGAGGGCAGGAGAAGAGGTGTGGACTGGTGGAAGTGGTGGCTTCCCGTAAGGCTAGTCTGAAACTGTGATAACATCACCTCCTGTCCCACATCTCCTTGAGGTGAACTGAATTGTCCAAAGGATGAAACTCAGATTTTTGCCAACCTGTAGGCCTTTGGTGTTACTTTCTTATTACCAAGGGATGAAAACTTGTTACATCTCCAAGACTAAGCTTTGTGATTTTTACAGAGAGCGGATGGGATGGCCTGGGCTCCTGCACAGATGCAGGAGTAACTCATCAGAGCTGTCTCTGAGGACTAGTTGATCAGTGCTTTTCTGGTGGACAGAGGCATCCCTGGGCAGGGCACTTTACCTGAGCATCATTTTTTTCA